CGCATACTGAGTCCACACATTCGCCCTAGGGATTGAGCATGGCCAAAATTAAGTTGGGGCAGGAGCTCCTCGTCGTGCTCGGACTCCATTAAGGCTCGGAAATCTTCAAAGGTAGGACATATCTCTTGCCCAGCGAAGCTAAAGACATGCGTCACCGGATTCCAAAACCTTGCCGCAGCTTGAAGGAACGGGAGGTGCAACGGAATACGACCCAGAGTGAATAGTGCATTTATGCCGAAGCCCCGAAAATTCAACTTTTTCGAGCCATCCAAGCTAGCAATCCAAGCTGTGAGATTTTGAGCAAGAAACTCTTCCATCAGAGCAAATCAGTGTGGAATTGAGAAAAACTGCGAAGTTGGGGTCTTTTGTAGGAGATAAGATTGGGTGGAGGACAGGTGTCAACATTCTGGTGATTCCCTCATTCATAGCCGGCCGGCCAAAAACTCTGCCGACCGGCCATCATATTTTGCCAACCGGACAAATTTTTGGCCGATGGCCATTCCTCGTGGCCGATGGCCTCTCCCCCTGGCCGATGGGCTTCCTCCTGGTCCCCTGAGCTGTTTATGCTAGGGATTGGTGAACTCCACCACCTCCGATCCCTCCCCCGGTGATCAATTCTTGCGGAGTCACACCTGTCTACTTATCGAGTTATTGTACATTTGCTTATCGAGTTGTATTCTCTCTTTGAGTTTTGATTTATTTATCGAGTTGTACTCACGCTTGTTTGGTCCTATCATGCCTTTGTACATTTGCTTATCGAGTTGCAAGTCGGTTCACTGCCTGATTATTACGATGCGAGTACTCGGTGTTCAAAATGAGTTCGATTTTGTTCACATTGTGGTGTGATGCCTTGCGATGCGATGCATAGAAAGTTTACAAACGCAAACATCTTTTAAATAAAATGGTTGTTTCATTCCCGTCACGTGCTTTGCAAAATGTGTAATTTTGAGAAAGAATAAAACCTGCCCGAGGCAGTGCAATGTGCTTAAACTACTAGTAAAAAGGAAAGTAAAACATAGAATGACAGGGTAGCCAAGTGTCGGAATGGATACCAGCAAAACTCCCCTTGCGGCCAACGCACCTTCCATGCTCTTTTTCGGGTCAACGACATGGTTTGGCACCTTCATTACTTGAGACCCCACGGAGGAGTACGCTTTTGAAACATGGACCTTTGAGTTGACCTCAGGCCACAACCTCTGCCAATGATGCTCGATACGTACGAAGAACGCTCCTTCCCGTATCCTTTTCATGTCTTGAGGATTCCCACAAATCGCTTCGATTGCGCTGTGTTACAGTGTTTTACATCCCTGCATTATGAATGATATGACCTCACTCACATATGTTCAAGCATATCAATTACATTGTCTGCGTAGACCGCATGCTTGTAATCACTTTTATTCCTTGCGTAGACCGTATGTCAATTACATTGCCTGCGTAGACCGCATGTTTGTAATCACTTTTATTCCTTGCGTAGACCGCATATGTTAATTACATTACCTGCGTAGACCGCATGTTTGTAATCACTTTTATTCCTTGCGTAGACCGCATGTCAATTACATTGCCTGCGTAGACCGCATGTTTGTAATCACTTTTATTCCTTGCGTAGACCGCATAAACCGCATGTTTTGCTTGCGTAGACCGCATGTTTTGCTTGCGTAGACCGCATGTTTTGCTTGCGTAGACCGCATGTTTTGCTTGCGTAGACCGCATGTTTTGCTTGCGTAGACCGCATGTTTTGCTTGCGTAGACCGCATGTTTTGCTTGCGTAGACCGCATGTTTTGCTTGCGTAGACCGCATGTTTTGCTTGCGTAGACCGCATGTTTTGCTTGCGTAGACCGCATGTTTTGCTTGCGTAGACCGCATGTTTTGCTTGCGTAGACCGCATGTTTTGCTTGCGTAGACCGCATGTTTTGCTTGCGTAGACCGCATGTTTTGCTTGCGTAGACCGCATGTTTTGCTTGCGTAGACCGCATGTTTTGCTTGCGTAGACCGCATGTTTTGCTTGCGTAGACCGCATGTTTTGCTTGCGTAGACCGCATGTTTTGCAGCGCATGTTTTGTTTGCATTAATCAATTTCATTACTTGCGTAGACCGCATGTATTGCTCGCGTAGACCGCATAATTGTTCAATTTCATTACTTGCGTAGACCGCATGTATTGCTCGTGTAGACCGCATAATTAATCAATTTCATTACTTGCGTAGACCGCATGTTTTGCTTGCGTAGACCGCATGATTAATCAATTTCATTACTCGCGTAGACCGCATGTTTTGCTTGCGTAGACCGCATAATTAATCAATTTCATTACCTGCGTAAACCGCATGTATTACTTGCGTAGACCGCATGTTTGTTCAATTTCATTGCCTGCGTAGACCGCATGTATTGCTTGCGTAGACCGCATAACTAATCAATTTCATTACCTGCGTAGACCGCATGTTTTGCTTGCGTAGACCGCATAATTAATCAATTTCATTACCTGCGTAGACCGCATGTTCCACTTACACATCTGTACCTTCGCAGCATTGTTATACTCCCCGCTTGCTTTGCGTTGCCACGCATACCAAGTATACTATTATGCATGTTGCTCACGATATTGTACCTGTTAAGTTTGTTTTCTTTGCAGGCACGATATTGTATGTACGGTTCATTTAAGGCTGGTACAACCAGACGAGCCGCACAGGTATTGTATCCTCCAAGTGAGACGTATTGAGAATTACGTAATTCTCTTACATCCCTTCTACATTGTAGTGTAGTTCGGCGTGTGCTAGCTTAAAATTTTCGCATGTGTGCTTTATTACGGCTTTCTTTGCATGATCATAAGTTATGTCCGGCTCTGTGCATTGTCTTGCATTTTGCCCCTGCCTCCGGGCGCATATCTTGATTGTCTTGCGTATTTGTCTGAGTCTTCGGCCTTGTCAAAAATGGGTTGTCTCTGGGCTTTGACATTCACTCTCGTCATTGTTATGACTTTTGAGTTCAGTCAAAGAGGGGCAACTGTAGACACCCCATTTTTGACCGTCCTCAAGACTTGGACGTCACCATTGGAACACTTGGTGATTACCCTTGTTTGTGTTCGTTTGGAGTTCCCGGAGGTCTCGGCTACGCGCCCTGCCTCAGGATCTCCGAACTCGACTGTTTAGTGTATGGTTTTGCACCAAACACTTGTGTTTTGCCTTGGAGGGGCATGGAATGTCTTGTGAGGCATCCCCACACACCACCGGCAGTGGCTAGAGGTCACCGGCTGGTTTTTGATGCCATCGGCACTTTTTGTTGCTGGTCGGCTCTGTTTGTTGCCGGTCGGCACTAAATTTTGTCAAAATGACATTTTTGGGCAGCCGACCACTGTTCATCTACTTTATGTAGATATTTTGTGCCAGCTGTGATAGCTGGCACCAACTCTGCTTCCCTCCATACACGTGTATGGAGGGATTTCCCTCTAAGCAAGCTTGTTGTATAAGCTTTACCCTTGAGAGGCTCGCTAGGCCGAAAACCCGAAAGGGCGACCTAGGCAAAAGTTAGAGCACAAAAAATT